GATGAACTCAGCGGCGACGGCGGTGGACATGGCAGGGGTTCTCCAAGTGGCTATCCTTCTAGCGATGAAGACAACGATCGACGTTCAGTGGAGGGCAATTCTCGGCCCGGCAACGGTGAAGGTCGTGGTGGGAGTTCGCCCAGAGGACACCCTCCAAGCGACGAAGATGAACGCGGTGGTGCCTCTGTGGGAGGACTTTCTCCGCTCACCGACGGCGGTGGACACGACAGGGGTTCTCCAAGTGTCTATCCTTCTAGTGATGAAGACAACGATCGACGTTCAGTGGAGGGCAATTCTCGGCCCGGCAACGGTGAAGGTCGTGGTGGGAGTTCGCCCAGAGGACACCCTCCAAGCGACGAAGATGAACGCGGTGGTGCCTCTGTGGGAGGACTTTCTCCGCTCGGTGACGGCGGTAGATACGACAGGGGTTCTCCAAGTGTCTATTCTTCTAGCGACGAAGACAACGATCGACGTTCAGTGGAGGGCAATTCTCCGCCCGGCAACGGCGAAGGTCGTGGCGGGAGTTCGCCCAGAGGACATCCTCCAAGCGAGGACGATGAACGCGGTGGTGCCTCTGCGGGAGGACTTTCTCCGCTCGGTGGGGGCGAAGATCGACATTCTCCGTGTGGGGAGAGCTGCGATCGTGGTGGCGATTCAGTGGAAGGACATTCTCCAAATGCCGACAGAGACGTCACCATGAACGACAAGGACAGTTGTACATCATTTTTGGCTGCGGCTTGCGACGTTCATGTGCTCAGCGACGAGGAAGAGGCCGAAATCCTTGCAGCAGCGCTATTTGCACCGATGGCTGCTGAGCACAAGAGTTTTGTGTTTGCCATGCCCCCAATGATGGTTTCCAAGAAGACGAAGCTGCCGGTTCCCCGTTTAAAGGAAGAAGTTGAAGCTCTTAGCGCAGAACTGAGTGCAAAGTACGCAAAGTTCCAGCCCAAGTTACGTTTTCGTGACGTGTATGCGAGCTTGGACGCATTCGAAGTCAAGATGCGAGCAAACGTCCAAGAAGTCGATCGTGTTGAAGAAACCAAGGAGATGGACGACTCCTTTATGGATAAACGTCGCGCTGTGTGGCAACGTTTGAACTCCCTCCCGAAGGTGTATGTGGCCGTCGACGAAATCTGCGAGTTGCCCGCGGCGGAGAAGTACGTTGGACTGGACGGCCTTTATTCCGTGCGTCCTGTTCGTGACGACGAAGTAAAGCACCACATGCAAGAAATGAAGACAAGCGGGTTTTTGGGTGTCAGCCAGGTGGTGTTGTGCACACCCGGACCGAACGGTTTCAAGTACGGGATAATTGACGGCCAACATCGCATCGTCGGTATCCAACGAATGTATGCGGAAGCGTCCAAGTCCAAGGATGTCGCAAAGGGTTGCTATGGTGCTGCGTTGGAAAGTCTTTCGCGCCCAGACAGTGATGTCCCGGGGTTTCGGGGTTTCGGGGTTTCGGGGTTTCGGGGTTTCG